AGACAATCCACACCACACCCTGAACATTTCAGTGTGGGAGTCCTACAAAGTCACAGTTCGGCCATCACCAGGAAATCAACATTGTGATGTCTCCACTGCCCACACTTGGAACCCCATCTGAAAGCACACCAGTAGTCCCAATGATGGCCTTCACGGCTAAGGAATCTGGAATGAAGCTGTTTGTGGTTGGCTTCCTGTCTTTTCCTGTGCTTCAGTTTGAAAGTTTCTGGGTCTTTGTCTTTCGTGGCCCTGACTCTTTTGAAGGCCACTTATGTTGCGAAATAACCCTCCACGTGGGACTTTCTGTGTTCCCCATAACTGATGGTTTTTAGTGGCACTCTTACCCTGCAAGGAAGTCACGAAACACGACAGAATCCACTAACAAGAATTTTATTAAAGAAAGGAGAAAGGGATAGATGTGATCAGGCCTGCTGAAAGGACATGTGAGGGAAGAAGGGCAGGGGGGACACGGGGCCCTCTTTTTTAAGGACCACCCCGCACATGCGCACACAGGCCCACATGGCTACTCCACGCATGCGCGTCGATCACGTGGTCATGCAGCGCATGGGTTACGTAGGACGTATGACCCAGAAATGACTAGGTGGAGATGACTAAGTGTCCCACCGGGGCATGTGCGACCATGGGGGCATGGCTGGAATTCCTATTGATAACTACAGCCAGGCATTCATCTTCAGCCAGGGATGGCACAAAGGTGATGCTGGAGTCCTCTTGCTACATCCTGTCAGATGGACCAGAAGCTCAGCTGGCCATCTTTTGCAGAAGGAGGCATCTGCCAGAGCTGTGATTGCTCTTTGTAATTAGTAAGTATATTGGGAGAGGCAGTTTAAAGTATATAAATATCTTTTTTTGTGTTTGTGTGAATTTTCTACTTATTCATTTAGGTATGTGGACTCGTGACTTCCCACTTCATATTTAATGGGTTATAATGTGCTTCTACCATTATTTCTTTATTTAGTTTTTTGAGACAGCCTCGTGTATCTATCCCAGGCTTGCCTTCAAGCTCATTACATAGTGGAAGATGACCTTGAACTTCTGATCCTCCTGCCTCTGCCTCTCAGGTGCTGGGATCACAGACATATCCTCCACACTTTTGTTTATGTGGTACTGGGGTAGAACCTGGGGCTTTTGTGCATGGTAGGCAAACACTCTTCATCCCTCACCAGAACCATCATTATTTATTTTGATGTCCACATTTTCTCCATTTCACTGCCGAGTGAGTGAAGCTCACGTCTTCAATGGCTTCCTGAAAAGATGGTTTATCAGTAGGCAGTTGTGTTCTTTCCCAATTTGGATCTCCCTGAGGATACATCAGAGAAGTGGTCCTGGACTCTTCAATAGCCACAACCAGGGTCCTGTCCTATCCTTGAGGAGATCTAGGGCAAAGTGAAGAGTGTAGGCCATACTTACCTTTAGAAGCCCTTCACACAAAAGGGCCAGTTTGGCA